TCTTTTTTCATTATTTATTTTAGACTAATTGGGTAATTACAGAGAATACGTAGTGTCGGCATATTTGGATGATTCCTGTATGAGTGTTTTCCCCATGTAATGCACTTTCACGCTTTCCTATATACGGCATGCAGCAACAATGATTGACAACACCGCAAAGGATGATGGGAAAACCGGATGTGCAAGAAAAGAAAGCGCGGGAGCATGCTACAAGCTCTTCACCCTGCCGTGTTTCGCTGAAATAACAGACTGTGCGTTATATTCTTAGCACATACCGACAAACGATAGTACTGATATCTGCCAGGACTCATGATTCGAGTTGAAAGTGATTGTAACTCTGGTGAAATACCAGGTTGAAAGGCTGTTTGTGCTTTGGTTGACCATTGTTGTTAATGCTACTTTTCTGAGTAATTGTGAATGCTTTTCTGACGTTGTAATACTATTATTGTTTGATTAATCTATCAATATATATTTGAGCGTGGAACCACCACTCTTACCGATCTGAAGACTGTAATTAATCAAGCAGATTGATATTACTGTTTTATTGTAAGCGATATCGTTCGTGTTTTATAAATGCTAGAACACATTCTTGTGAGTTACCTTACCAGCATATTGGTCCCCGGACAGAGCAGTCAGACAGCTCTTGATATCGACGGAGAGCGCCCTCATGGGTAAGTTCTCATTTGACTGGTCTTTTGTTTTTTGATAATTACATGGAAGTGCTTTTTCAAGGTCATACATTTGTATTTCCTGCAAGTTGTTGAGCTTTTCCAATACCCATTGTAGTAGTGCATTGTGGGTAGCGTTGTACTGTTTGTGGTTATTGGTCTGTTGATGAAATGTTGTTCCTCTGAGATTTGGGGGAAGGCTGAAACACAACTTTGACAGGTGTGAGTGTTCCATAACAATAATTAACATTTTATTTTCTGGCGTTATCACTCTCAGAGCCAAACAAGTTATTATTGATCTGTGAAAATATATATGTTTCCGAGTACCGTATAACAGAGATATACTAGTGCAGTGGT